GGGTGCGGGTGAGTGAGTGGCCTTCTCCCGCCCCCTGCACGGGGCGGGGGGCGGAGTGGGTTGGGGACCTCTAAAAATCAAGAGAGCGTTGTGAGGGGGGTGCCGTGGTCCCCGCCGCGTTTGGCGGGGCACAGGGGGCTGCTAGAAACACAAGTGAGAAAGTCTTCAAGGGTTTTTTATTGGGGGAGGGGTGGGCGGAACTGGCGGGGGGTGACATCTTTTCGTTGAATTAGATGTTACTTTTAAGGCCTGAAATAAATCTGGCGCACGAGATACAAACCGGTCGTGCTGAATCGTGGCTCCGGCAGGGAAACTGGGAGCCAGTGTTAAGGGACCTGGTACTGAGCCGGGTCCCTAGGGGAATGGAAGTGGTGCGGTGCGGTGCATGCTCCAACTGGATCCGAGGCCTTGCAGCACCTAGGCTGGTGCCCTGGGCAGTTCAAAGTGGTTGAAGGAAACTCTGGCTAAAAGACTACTAACTTCCCCTAGCTAAGTGACTTAAGCATATGACAGAGACTAATGAACAATTAAACTGGACTCTCCTGTTGTTTTGACAACATGCTTTTTGTAAAGGATCAATTGAAAGGATGAGCTTTCAGTTTGGAAGTGATAGGGAAAGGCAGCAGAATGTGTGTGTGTGTTTGTGTGTGGGGGGGGAGTTCTATAATATCACTTGATAAGTTAACAAAATAAAGACGGCTGTATAACTTTCTTCATTGGTCTTTCTATCTGAAGGTTAAAAATGGCACTGAAAGAATTGGGCCCCAAGAAGCACGAAGCTGCATCCTCCCTTTGAGGAAGCAGCCCTGTCTACTTAAAAGAGACAGACAGGTTGCTTAAAACTGCATTGACTCTTTTAAGTGCTCCATATATTTAGTAAACAGCTAAGGTGTAAATAATCCTGGCAAACAGGTCTGTAGATCTGAAGACATCAGTGTTTCAGCATCATAATATTACTTTCTTGGCACTGATGCCAGAGGTGAGTTTAACCTGTGTTTTGGTCAGGGTGGAGCTTCTGTCATCTTAAAATTCATGGATGCTGACTGATTTCATCTCTCTTTGAAGCCTTCTGTTGGTGGCCTAACATGTTGATAGCCTTGCAGTACCTTAAAACTGTCCTTTGTCCCTGACTAGAGATACGATTTGTGGACTTCTCCTTCCTTTATTGCTGTCCTGACATGCCTTGTTATACTGATGATCTATGACAAATTAAATGAGTGGAGGAGAGTAGGGCATAGGCACACAAACTGAGGGGAGGGAGGGAAGGGCTCTGGGGCATGTCATCTGCTCTGTGTTAGTTGCCTGCATACATGCTCTTGTCTTGTGGTAACAAAACTAACCCCTAGCAACTTACCTTTCATTTACTGCCATAGTAAGGTCATGCATATGGGCACTTACCATGGAGCAGCTGATGATAATGAAGTCTTTCCTTCCTTCCTTTACTTCATGGTAGCCTGTTCTTATGCCTATGCCTGAAGGCACTGGTGGTAGGGATTATGTTTAGGACTTGACCAGTTGTGGCATGGAGACTTTTAAGCAATTTTATTCTGTGGTGAGGAGTGAAAGTGTGTGCAAAGTTTTGAAATGGTTGGTATTTGCTTGTCAGAAGAGAATTTCCTTTGCTTTGTGGATAACCCACTCTAAAAAATCAGACTACTTTTATCTTGCTCAGTGGTCATAAAGAGTTTTTCAATTACCACTGTTCCTAAACCTCTTTTTCTGGGAGAAGTTGAAGGTTGAAGAAAACATCTTCCTGGCATCATCAGGTGTCATCTGACATCCTAGATCAGTGGAGGCCAACCTTTTTGGCAGGCTTGCCACAGATTGGTCCTTCACCCTCCCTGGGTACCACTTTGATCCCTTTCCTCTACCCAATCTGCTGCTGCTCTGCTTTATGCCCTGTACTCTCTGCTTGATATAGAATCATAGAACTGGAAGGGACCTGTAAGATCATCAAGTCCAGTCCCCTGCTGTGAGCAGGAAGTTATTGGGCTCAGACAAGCTGGACAAGGTGCCTGTCCAGTTTCATCTTGAATACCTCCAAGGAGGGTGACTGCACCACCTCTGTTGGGAGTGTGTTCCAGATTCTGGTGACCCTTACAGAGAAAAAGTTTTTTTCTTATGTCTAGCCTGAATTTACCCTCTATTACCTTATGCCCATTAGTCCTCATCCTTCCTTGAGGTGCCTTCCTGAAGAGTTGCTCCCCTAGATCTTGATGCTCACCCCAACGTACTTGTAGGCGGCTATCAAATCAAGTACATACACCATACCCTGCTCTGCTTGCTGCTCCCTGCCCTATCTACCACTGTTCCCTCCCTTATCTGTTGCATGTCACACACAGAGGCTATGCGTGCCACTTGTGGCACATGTGCCTCAAGTTGTCCACCCATGTCCTAGATCATAGAATCATAGATGTGTCAAACCAGCTTTAGGTCAGGGCATACTATGGAGGTGAAGCTTGCATTATTGGTCAGGCCTCTTTCCAGTGATAGGAAAAGGTTAATTGTCAATTATGTTGCTTCAGATTTATCATCAGCTCACCATACTGTTCGTTTCCCATAAAGGGTTCTTGGAAGTGAAGTTGCAGTTGAAAGGAAAAAATAAAAGTAATTCATCACAATTCCAAAGAATACTTCTTAGATACATGTTTCACTGTCTTAATTTTTCTTGTGCAAGGAACCACTGGTTTATGATGTCAGCTCTGTTGCTCAAATGCATGTGACACTGCTTCATGAAGTAGCTGCTGCAAGTTGGACTGTTCAGCTCTGCTTTTTTATATTACTTAAGTCGGGTGGGCAAAATGTAGCCTGGGAGCAGGATGCGGCCTGCCAGGCCATTCTATCTGGCCTGTGGGGCCCCTAAAAAATTTAGAAAATTAATATTTACATGCTCCTGGCTGCCTATCATGTGGCCCTCAATGGCTTGCCAAAACTCAGTAGGCGGCTCTCCGCCCAAAATAATTGCCCGCCCTGACTTAAATGGTGTGGTGACTCGTTTTTTCAGTTTCAATGACTGTCTACAGAGAGGCTTAATTCTATAAAAGACTCAAGTGCAGAGAATAGAGGTGGGCCAGGAAGAACGTATGCTCTTTCTATCAAGGAGATATTTCTGATAATTGCCTCTGGTGTCCAGAGTTTGGGGCCCTCTTTGATCTTCTTAAGTGAAAAAACAATAAGCATTCATAACTTCCTTTTTTTCTTGTGTAAGGGAAATTGAATCATTATCTCTTAGAGGATAGACTGACACAGTTTTTGATGTCTGTTACTGTTAGATTGGCCTATTAACGGTGCACTCTTCTTGGCTTTTCTGCAGGGGAAAACTTCACATAATGTGAACATATTAGTCCTCTTCCTCAGTGGGAATGTGGTATAGGGGGTATTTCCTTGCTTTTTTAGGCTAAATTGACTACCTATTTGCTTCCAGATAAATCGTTGATATCCAAAACCCTACAAGATTTGGCCCCTAGCACCTTCTATTTTTTTCTTCTTTTAAGTAGCTTAAATCAACAAGGACACTTGGGATTGCTGTCCTGAGACTTGAACTCTTGGAAAAGGTTTGAACACATTATCCTGTGGAATCCTATGGAAGATGGAGATAAAGTATTCTTATTTAGGGAGGGTTGGTGTCACAACCCAAAGTTGTGGTTTTTTGTTTTTGTGTGCTTCGGCACCGCTAAATTATGTTCCTGCCAAATTGCAGCTTCTTTACACGGTGGAGTTTTCTTTTGCAATAGGAGAACCCGCGTGCAGAAGAGTATTTCCCGCCGTTTATAGCCTTCTTTGCATGGTGCATTTCTTTTCCATCATAGTGATGCACGGTGCAAAGGAGTTCCCGCCATTTGTATTGAGATTCGCATCACATTATTGGCCGATCTTAATATAGGCACACGTGGCGGCTAGCGATTGGCTTGCTAGCCGTATAAAGAGCTTGGGTGGTTTCCGCCCAAGTTGGAGAGAGAGAGAGAGAAAGCAATTGGAGTTTGGGAGAAAGAGCGTGAAGATCTCTAAGCGCTGCTAATCCCTTCGAACCCAGCTTTTTTTTTCTCCTTAAGAGAGCAATAGAGGGCCGATTTACCGAACCCACGGAGTCTTAACAACTCCGGGGGCCTATTTACCGAACCCACGGAGCTTCAACCACTCTGGGGGCCAAACGGCCTCTAGCCTCTCCCCGTCACCGAGCGCAATCCTAAGACGTATCCCTTCCTTTTGAAACTACCGAACCCGCGGAGCTTCAACCTCTCTGGGGCCAATTACCGAGCCGAACCCGCGGAGCTTCAACAACTCCGGGGTCAATTGTCGGAGTCCTCTAGCGAGGATTTAAGCGGAGCTGAGCCTGGAAAACTGTCCAGCCTACACCACGACCATCTTTGGTGTAAGTAAACAATCTTTTAATCAACCATTATGCGTCTGTAACTAATTCTAGCTCACCACCGGTCTTCTTCGACCCTGCGTGCCCGGGCTGCTGGCCACAGCCTGCGTGCACAAAGACGGGTTTGCATACCGCTCCTAGCCCACACATGGCCGCATGGATGGGATCGGGAGGCGGCCGGCACAGTTGGTAGCCAATAGTTTTTGAATCTCTTTAGTGTAGTGGGATGAAAGAATTTTTGTCAACCTTGGGATTTTTTTAAATGTGAGCTGTCTTTAAATCACTGATGTTGTGTGAATCAACTAGCATTTTTCTTTAATCTGAGCCAGTCCTGTGCTGCTTCTCTGTTTTTTGAAAATAGCATTCATGTTTTGAAAGGGAATAGTCACTGGGGTTTCAAGACTGAGGCTGAATTTTCTAGCTAAAAGCATAGTGTAAAACTAATGCTGCTGTGGTTTTATTGATCTTGAGAGATCTGGGATTTGGATGCAAGCTGGTGGTTTGTCAAATTAGTAGGCAGTAAAAGGACAACTGTAGAATTTGGTATAGTTGCATCTTTTGGATTTGGGACTTTTATTTAAAAACAAAAACAAGCAGACACTATTTTTGGAGGAATGTAACTCCAGTCCCTTGTCTTTCAAGTTTGGGCTGTTGGCTAAGATCCACCAATCCAAAGAATGTGGTGTGGCAGTGATTGCTAATTTTGAGGCATTGCTCCCTCTTCCTCAGGGCATTTTAAGGGTATGTCACCCATGCTGAAAAAAGGGAGCCTGCTTTTCCAACAATCAGTATTAAAAAGCCCTTTTGTAAGTTGGACTTTTAGGCTGTATGAGCTCATTCTAAGGTCATCTTGCCAACAAGAGTCAAGTCTGTGTAAGGGCAACATCTTGTCAAAGCCTATCTGGAAGGAACAATGCCTACTACCAAATCTTAAATCTTACTAAGTACACAATTGTCTGAGAGCTCCAGAAATAATCAAGCATTCTGTTCAGAGAAAGCTCTATTTCTAGAGTACATGTCCATTTTTGTACTGCATAGGAGCATAAAGATGAAAGCTAAGCTCTGTATCTCAGGAGATTGTTTTCTGCTGTTTGTTCCACACAGGAAGTCTTAGTCCTATTTCTGTGACATCACTGTTAGTTACTATGGAAGCAGTGCTGATGACAAGCATTGGTTTATGGCTTCTGCAGGCATAGAAACTCCTAAATGCTCTTTAATCTGAACATTAGTGGTGAAGTGACAAAAAACTTAAGAAAGCAACACAAGCACAATTGTTTCCATAACACATGTTTTTTCCAAGTTTCCATAGGAGCATGTATATCTCTTTGGTTCTTTAAGCATTTTAACTGAAATTTTGGTTTCTTAATGAGGCTACTTTGTTAAAAGCTTTTTTCTTCCTCCACCCCTAACCAAATGCATTGCGTTGCAGCTTCGATTTTTAAAGGATCTATTTGCTTTGTCTGTTAACTAAACATTTTCAGTCTAAAAATTATGGGAAGGCTGGGAGGAATGGCTGTGAGAGTAAATTTAGAATACGACCTGTTGACAAGAGGTTGAACTTCAGTACTACGTATGTCTTTGTCTGTAGTTCATTGTATATTGTAATTTCAGTGTTATAGCTTGTTCTTTATATCTGATAAAGGAATTACTGTTGGTTTCTTTGTGTGACAAAATAAAACATTCAGGAAGCCACTCTGCAAGATAAAGCAAAAGGTTATCGTAACCGCTGAGATGCATTGCATAAATTCATAAAAATCCAAGGGGTGACTGACTGATGGAATTGGTGCTTGGATAGAGAGACCCTCTTGGTCCCTGGTTTCAGTCCCTTCAGAGGCAGAACAGTGTGGGAAATGACTTGGATCTCTGCACCTGATGTTAAGGATGGTTTTTGGCATAATATGTGCTGCAAGGAGAAAGGGCAGACAGCCTTGGGAGGAGCTGTTCTTGGAGGTTTTAATTTCATAACCAAAGGAATGATCAGCTGGATCCAAATCATCTAGTTTCTTTTGATCTGTGTCTGAGTTTTCCAGTGTTTCTCAGGAGCCACTGGACACTCTCTTTAGACTTCAAGAGAAGGTAGACAGAACGGAACACTCTTGGTGCTTGTATTCGGAGCCTCTTTTCAAGGGACCTATAAATGAAAGTTTCTGGGAATGCCCAAGTACTGAAGTGTTTGATTTGAGTTTGCTGACTGAGATTAGTTCCATAGACAGTGACTGCATTGTTTGAGATGGGGACAAAAATACCTTAATTCCAGCTTTGAAATCTGGGCAAGCAGTCTCCAGTTCTGCATTTGGGAGGCTAAAATGATAGATTTTTACTAGTTCCTGACTATTTAGGGTCTTTGATTGGAGAAGAAAGCTGTGGTGAGAGGATAGGCGATATAGGACTTGAGGTCTTGCTTTGTGGAACCAGCCTGTGCTCTATAAAATGTAGTCAGAAGTTCATTCCTTGGGCTCTTGAATCCTGTGAGAGCCATGGTGGCATTTTTGCCCGTGCAAATTTTCTGCTTCTCTTGAGGTGATTATTTTAAAAGATTCATAACAGTTTGAGCTTTGATACATGCCAAGGCATATAGTCTTACTGTCCTGTTATGAAGTCAAGAGAATTGATCAGGTGTTTTTTTTTTTCCATAGAATTCTGGGCTCTTTCTCTTCTCCTAGAAAGCTCGTGGAGTTAGCTCTGTTCCTTCCCACCTCAGGCTTTTTTCAATTGAGGAACCTATATCTGTATAATTTAGTTCAGGCTTTTTGTAAAATGCCTATCTTGCAAAACAAAACGTTTAAAGAGCACTGGCTCAAATGGCAATGCTTAACTTTCCTTCTTTTTGGGAGGTATAAGCGGGCCTTAGCAAAGAGGAGTGTGAGCAAGATTGGACTGTCTGATCTCATTCTGTAAGGCACTGTATTGTGGTGCACGTGGCGCGCTACAAATGGTAGAGTGGGTTTCTTGCCTCTAATGCAGTAGAGTCCAAGAACAGCACAGAATCCAGAAAAGCCTTAAGGCTGGTCGCTTGAGGATTCCTGTAAGGGTCCCTTCAAGCAGTTCCTATAGCATGGCTCTGGGTATTTTTCATACCTGATTCCTGGTTTCTTGCTGATTTTTAGCAAGGTGAGCTTTAGATAGCTCTAATGGTGGTAAATTTTGTACCTGGCACTGTGATGGGCCAGGAAAATCAGAACTGTCTGAGGAAGGATTATTCTGGCATGTTAAGTGAGCTTCTAAAGACTTATTTTAAAGAAACTGGGCTAGTGCTGTTTGTTGCTTTAAGATATAAAAATAGCTGAAGTTATTAGAATCTCCATCACTAGAAGTTTTAAGAGCAGGTTGGACAAATATTCAGATGAGATGGGTTTAGACAAGGATGATCCTGCCTTAGAAGTGGGGTGGACTGGACAACCTCTTAAAGTCAGTGCCATTTTTCTGTGATCCTATGACTTTTTTTGTGTTTAAACCTGTAGTGTTCTGCTTCTGTTTACTTCAGTCTGTTGGCCTTCATTTTGTTGAAAGAGCTATGGGTGGTCTTGGGGATTTTGTGAGCTCTTAAAATCTAGTTTGAAGGGGCTAAATCTTTAATGTTTTGAGTAAATAAAGCCTTTATGAGTCATTGAAGTTAAACAGGTCTCCTTGAGAACAAAAGCTGAGTTTAATCACTTGGAGTAAAAAAGCTTTTCCCTTTAAAAAAACAACAACTTTCTTTTATATATTAACATAAAATGTATTCTGTTTAAGTTCATACCCTGGAGCCTGAAAGAAAAGGCTATGCCCTTATCAGTTATCCACACAAAATGTGGATTCGCATTTACTACAAGAACAACCTGTGTTAAACTCTTTTCTGGTTCACTTATAAGGCTGCTTATGATTTTTGTTCTTTGACTGAAGAATTTCCCATGTGTTTCTTCTCCATGTTCCTCCTGTTTAGGGATTGGTCCTTCTCCAAAAATGAGCTATCTTGCATCTGGCAACTGTCTGTAATTGTGTTTATCAGTGGGTCTTTCCCAGAGTCAATAACCTACTTTAAATCATAGTGTCATAGAATCATTATGGTGTTTGTGGGTTGCCTAACTAGTTATCTTATTTTGCTTGTGGTTTGCTTCCAAAATTCTATTATCTGTAGGGCATTCTCACCATTTAGAGACAGTGTTTCCTATAAAGAGATCTGAGAGGGAGAGAATAAAGAGGTTCTGATCACAATAGCAACTGAACAGCAGTGCCCCCTGCCCCTATTTATTCTTGGCATGTTAGCTTCATTATATTCTGTAATTTTTTCCAGAGGCAGTTTATAGCTGGAGACTTCTGTATAAAACTTCTGAATTCTTCATCCATCTCTCCAGCCTTAAATTATGCCATTTTTTGTTTGCATTTGTGTTGCTGCTGCTTTTTTCTTAATCTGTTGACAAGAACTTTATTTTCCCCAAAATGATTCTCTTTCAGTTGTCTCGGAGGCCACTTTCAGGTTCTTTTTAGGTATGGCATTTTGTTGTCCTCTGAAGACCTTTTCCTCTTATCAGCTGTACTCTGACTCTTTTGACTCCTGGCTGATGTTAATTCTCTATTTTCCTTAGTCTTCCAGCCTAGAAAGAACCAGAGCTTTTCATGTAAAAATGCAGAAATATATAATATAAACAAATGACAGTTTTCAGGCTGTCTTTTTTTACCATTATAATGAAGTAAGAAGGGACACAAACTCAACTTTCTTTTTTCCTTATGGACTACCTTTAAGCTTGCTTGTCACTCATTCCAATACAATTGCAGCTAAATTATTACACACATACTAGAGCATCTGTCCTGCAGGTTCAGAAGAGGGCTCTGTGAGCACCTCCTGCTGTTCACTGTATCCCATGCTGCTATGTCAGGGTTGCTAATTTCTTTTTCCCTCTAATAACCTTGTAGGGTACTTGATATGCAGATTAGAGCTCTCCTGGCTGAGAGCTTTCATGTGGAAAGCTATGTCTTCACAGTGGCAATGTGGGATATTGCTTTGGCATTGTCCCTAATCCCATTCCATTTACAGATGAAACTCTTGCATGAGTTTGTTTTTAACCCTGCAGGCTTTGCCGTGGGTATAGGCTAGAGACTGAATGCTGCTTTCAGTCAAGCTGTAACCCTGTAGGAAAAGCCTCCTTTGCAGTGAGGATGCAAGTTAAACCACTTGATCTCTGACAGCCCTCCAGTGTCTTCCCATAACTCCTTACATGCATATGCAATGACAGGTTCTCTCACAATTTGATGGGAAAGAATCCTAGAACAGATCAGTTTACCATAGCACAGGGAGCTCTGGGGTGCGTCTCTACAAGTCCTAGTGACGTGCAGGTGAATGCTGCACCTGTAATTTTTTTTTCTTGGAGTCAGAACAACAGAGAATCCCTATGCCTGAAGAAAAGTAACTGCGTCTGAAAACTTGCTAAGAACGTTTTTCCAGCTATTCAGTTGGTCTAATAAAAGATATCACATCTACTCAAAGGACCTTGTACCTGTAAGAACTCAGGAGCTCTAGTTTGTCTTGGCAATGTAGTTGCTTATATCCAGGCCAGATGGGTGCTAGTCACCTGTGTTGACTCTGCAGTCAAGACACCCAATGAAAACAGATTTTCCTGACAAATGTGAAGGAAAAGAAATCATTGGCAGTCTGCATGGATGTGCTGAGGCTTCTTTTAAAGAGTTTTCAGGTTCAAGAGGCAATTCACATTTATACTAATTTATGAGTGTGGTGGGAGGTCATTCTGAGACATAAGGATTAAGGATAGTTAACAGCATGACTCAGAAAGACTTGTCTGCTCCATTGATTCTGTGTGCAACCTCTGGAGGGGGTCTGATCAGTCTTTTTAATTTATCTGAAGAGGGAAAAAAAAATTTCCTTGATGTTGTACATATAAAATATTTTCTGTTAACAAAATGTTAAACATGGCCTAAATGTGCTGTTTAATGTGGATTTAATAAAACCGGAAGTTTTGCTTTGCTTTTTTTTTTTTTTTTTTTTTTTCGCCCTTGTGCATAGCTTGTTAGGGTAGAATAGAGGTAGCTTTGTAGTTAAATTGCTAAAACTACTATGAAATATGTGAAGTTATGCTTTGCACATGAACAGCTTAATTTTGCTGTGGGAGCCAGAACTTCCAATTCCCCTGTGCTCACAAAAAGTTGCTTTTTTCTTAAGGGGTTCATATTTCAACAATAAATGTCCATAATATACCTGGAACAAAGATCTAATTTACATTTGATCATGTGTTTTTGCTTAGTCTTTTTAGATCATTTTAATTATCCAAGGTGAAGAAGGCACAAAAAAGTGGCCAGTTTCAGTTTGGTTAGTTTCTTCCACTTTTAGATGATTAAGCCCTATGTAGGATTAGGTACTTGTGGGCAATTTGCATAGCTGTTAAAAATGGGCACAGGTTTTCTTTGGGGTTTAATGACCTGCTAGACAGAAGTTCAAGGCAACATAGTTTTGCCAAAAAACAAGAAGGGAATTAATCATTACTCCGAGATACCCTCTCTCCTGTACTACTGTTTGGGCTGGTAAACTGGGCCAAAGGCTGTTTCGCTTGCTGTCACTGTAAGCTTCAACTTTTTCTTTGTGTTGCTACTGTACTCTGCTTCAGTAATCCATGGGATATTTGCTGAAAGCTGCCACCCTCTTATTTCCTTCCTCTTGGCCTTGCTGAGTGATGCTGCTGCAAAATGAGACTTTGTAGCCCATGTAGCAAAAGTGTAACTACTATTTGGCACTAACAAAGTCAGCTAGCTACTCAGAGCTGCTAACAGCAACAGGCCTTCAAAGAGAACACAGAAATCTATTTGAAGACATTGGTTTAGAGCAGAGGTTGGCAAACTTTAGGACCATTGGGGTGAAATAAGGCAGCTTGGTCTGAGGCAGACTGGCACTTCTGACCTTGCTGCTACTGCTGGTTAAGTGCTGCTGATGCACCTGTGACCTGACTGCCTTAGAATTCCTCTGTTGTTGAAATGCTGTTGGTAACTAGGCTTTGTGGGCCAAATGAAGTAGCAAGCAAAGCTGGTAACCCACAGCCAACCATTGCTAAGAGCTGGATTCAGCAAGGTTTTGGAGCCAGGGGACATGCTTTAATGGATCTTAGTTCCAAGTGCTTCCTGCTTCCTGTCCAGCCTGCACAGCTGCTGCTGCTGCCAGAACTGGAATCAGCTGCAGCTTCAGCTCCAGTTCTCTCTCCCTGTCTCGCTCCAGCTGTTCCCCACTACCTAGGTAAAGCCCTCTGTTACCAAAATGGTTCAGAAACCTCCTGCCTCCTCAGGCCAGATAAAATGGTTCTGCTAGCTGGATACAGCCCACAAGCCATATATTGTTAACCCTGGTGTAAAGAAAATGGTTCAAATCTTCTGATTTGCCCTCGTTATTGCCCTTATCTGTGTGGGAAGAGTGAATATTCAAGCACGCAGAGGTGGTGAAGTGCAGTATGTCTTCCTGGCTTAGTCTGTTAAAATTTGGGAATGCGTTCTCACACTATTCGGAAGATAATGAAGAAACATAGTGGGAAATGTCTCTGAATTGTAACTTGCCTGTTTGGGCTTCTAACAAACACTTTACAATTAAAAGTTGAGCCAACCCAATCTAACGGTTGTTGTGGAAATGCTTGGGCTGCTGCTTCAATAATGTTACAGTACCTCTCTTGGGGGCTGGTGGAGTGAGAGTTTATTATGTAGGTATTTTGGATGTGACTGGTCAGGGGAGGAATAATTAGGGGGCAGGTGTGAAGCATAATCTGGTTAAGCATTTTTTTGGTGGCTGCTTGAAAATGATTGTGTAAAGTCTTGTGTTTCTGCTCCTGTTGCCTAGTAACTCTGACCTCAGAGGTTATCTTAAGGGGCTCCAAGTGGAATTTTGTTCATTTCCTGAGTGCTGAGCAGAGCCTGGACTGCCCAAGTACCTGGTTTTCAGAAATCAAGTTAACAGGAAACGGGCATTCACGTATTGTGAGAAATAGTAATGCTGTGTAACTCTAGGTTACTCGATTTAATTCCATTTTTGTCCCTTGCAGTTGCAAGTGTATAGCATTCCTACAGACTTGATAAAGCAAACAACTTAATAACAGGTTCATCAGTTGTTGAGAAATAGCCTTTCAAGTCCTGGAAGTGTGACAGCAATCCTCTCAATGTCTGTATCATCACTAGACAGAAGTGGGTCTGGATGCTGAGAAGCTTTAGTGGCTTGATAGTTCTGCCCTTTTTGCTTTGTGAGGGAGCCCACCAAGTCCACTTTGTGATTCATGTCCAGAATTTAGACCTTGGTACTGGCTTGTGCTAGAACTTTCCACCTCTATGTTTTACCTTAATCATGTTATTCGTGAAGGCAGGTGTCTGCTTCACTCACATGATAGTAATCCAGATAAGATGAATAGAATTGTTCAGGATTTGGTACAAATCAGTAAAAATAAAAAATGGGAAATAAGGGGCCATCTACCCTACAGCATCTAGAACATGTGAGTGGGCAGATCAGAACAGCAGTGCAGGAGGTGACTCTCTTATTACTGATGTTCCTGCAGGCCTCTGCCCAGCTCAGTTGTATTAAGCATTTACAAACACACAGTTAAACAGTCCCTACTTTAACCTTTCAGTCTAAATCATTGTTTTTTCAACCTTGTTAGACTTGAGGGGATAGGATCCCTGTAGAAAATGCCAGCTCTTAGCTGTCACTCAGTTTTTTGGCTACAGAAAAATAATAGAGCAATTCTTCTGTTTCAGAGAACTCAGAAAGACCACAGCATGTTGGAATGTTTCAGGCACTAAATCTTTGGGCTTACCCTGTGAATCATGTGAATGTGCTTGCAAACATAACAGTGCTAATATTGTGTGGCACCCTGTGGCACCTTTAAAAGTATGCAAAGGTGCCACAGGACGTTACAGCACAATCGCTGAGAATCACAGGTCTAAGTAGACAAAAGTTGGCAGTGTCTATCTGGGGGATGAGGGCAGGAACAGAATCACAGGAATGAGTGACTTGCTCAAGATGTATTCTGCAGGCAAGTGGCAAATCTCCTGACTTGATTAAGTCTTACTCTGTAGACCAGGGATCAGCAACATTTTGGTAATGTGGGCTTTTTTGTGCCCTGACCCTACCCACAGACTGCAAGTCTCTGCCAGATTGGATCAGCCAGATTGCCTGCACTTGCCCTCTACAGTGAGGGTAAGGACAGATGTAGCAGAGGAGTTTGCTGTGGGCAGCGAAGCCCAGCACAGCTTTGTCACTGTTCCCTCTGTAAGCCTGGACCTTTACAGGATGGATCAGCCATCTTCATAGGCTAGATCCAGCCCATGGGTTAGAGGTTGCTGACCCCTGCTGTAGACAATACTTTGCCTCATTAAAAGATGCTTAGCAAATCTGAATTCATCCTACAGAATGGCTTTTCCCTTTGTATTTTTATTATAAATATCATTCCGTAATAACCGCCTGCACTTGTTTATTTCTTAACCATAACCCTGTCTGACACATTGGCTGTTATGTTGCATCCTTTTGTAGATTAATATGAGGAACTGGCAGCAAATATTCTCTATTTAATGCAGGTGTCCCTGGAGGCTCTATTTCCTTGTTAGTTTAGTTAGTTTAGTTAGAGGCAAAGATTTATGTAGGTGGTATATTTGACTGGACCAAGGGCATGGTTGGGATAGACTTAAGCTTTTGAATGCAACCTAAATTTAAAAATATGTTAATGATGATCTGGTATATTATTGGTATAATTTTTTTTTCTTTCAGCCTTACAATGTCTGGATACTTCTAAGCCTTGTGTCAATGAGGGAAAGTGCTTCTCATATCCCAATGGCACCGGATTTTGCAGGTAAGTCATTTTTATTTTAAACATCATTTCACCTATCCTCTGTTTTTCAGTTAAGGTTATTGAGCTTTAAGGAAATAAAGGAAAGGTCGTGATTGTGTTTAGGTCCAGCGTGAATTTTTGCTTGGTACAGAGTCTTTGACCTTATTTGAATTGTAGGGTTGCATACCTGCAGAAGAACGGAAAAGGAAATGGAAAGCTTTATTGCACACTTTTCTTTGCACCGAATATAACTTCCAACCTTACTCTGGTTCTCCTCTGAGCATCTTCTGAGTGGCCTTTCCTATTTGGGCAAAATGTCTGTGGAAAAGAGGTTGGACTTCCTGGCTAGAAGCACTCTAAGAATGACAGTGCCACATTTCTCCTGCCTTTGTGAGAGCCTTTTGATGATGTGGAGCAATGAGCATTCAATAGTCTATTGGGCTATATTAATAGGAGTGTTTCTTGGAAGTCAAGGAGAATGATTCTTCTGCTGTTCCCCTTTGGCAGTGGTGAGGGCTCACCTGGAGGATGTTGTCCAGTTTCGGGCACTGTGCTTCAAGAAAGATAGGGACAACTTTGAAGGATCCAGTGGAAAATAGTAAAAATGATTACAGGTCTTCAAATATAATTTATAAGGGAGGGTTGGAAAAATGGGGTTTTTTTTTTAGTGTGGGGAAGAGAAAACTGAGAGGGGATTTGATAAATCTTCCAAGACTGAAGGTTGGTTATAAAGAGGATTGGTGATTGACTGTTCTCTATGGCTGTGGGGGACAGGATGAGAAGTAACTATCTTAAAGTGCAGCAGGGGAAATGGTGGATATTCAGAAGAACTTGTTCACTTTGAGGATGGTTAAGCATTGGAACCCGGCTACCTAGAGAGGTTGTGGGATCTCCATCCTGGGAAGTTTTTAAGAGCAGGTTAGAGAAATACATAGATAAGATTTGGTTTAGAATGGAACTATTCCTGCCTCAGGCAGATGATTGGACTAGTTGGCCTTCTGAAGTCCCTTCCAGCCCTGCCTTTCTCTTATTTTATAAATATTATGGGGTTGGTCCACTTCAGGGAAATTTGTAATGCAGTGGTTTTTCTCGGCTAGTTTTCCCTAATTTGAAATACCTTGTTTGTTTGTTTATTTGTTTTTCTGAGGTTCTTCTTAGTCTTGGACATTGGCAGGTTTACATTTTGTGCTGAACAAGGAATAGAGGCTCTGAAGCAGATCAGTCTTCTGAGTAAACGTCTAACCTACTACAGGGTGGGGACTTTTGAGGGAAGATCTTACTCCCTTTCCTGGCAATTGGCATTATTTACAACTGGAATTTAAAACATAACATCCAGTCCAAATATTGGTTATTTTCAGGGTTCTTCTTCCCCCAGCCCTCCGTCCTGCTGCTTCTTTATCTGTGCTGGTTAACAACACAGCGCAATGAGTCACAGAAACCCATTTAGTTTTTAGTAGAGTTTTTTCTGGCAAACTCAGACAGCCTTGCTATAACTATAACTTCACATTCCTGGTGCCTGAAAAACCTATACGCAGAAATTAGTAGTGTCTGAAAATTGACACTACAGCTGTTTCAACACGGCTCACTTTCTGGGAGGTTACCTTAATACCAACAATGGTTAGAGAACTTTTTAAAGGCAAACTTAAATGCTGCCTAAGCAAGTAGTGCAAATGCTTTTTAATTTGCAAGTGTCAACTTTCCACTTGCTTGGAGTAAAAGGATTTTTCAAGCCTTGTTTATTTCATTAATGCTAGTTATGCCATTCTGTAGCGTGCTGAAATCCTCTTTCCCCATGGTGCTTACATTCTTCAAATAGTTGCGGATTATGTCCCACTTTCTTAACTTAGCTAAGAAACAGCTCTGCTTACTTAGCTCTATTCCTGGTTATTTGGTACCTCAAAATGAATACAGCCTTTTCTGAAATTACATCCTGAGTCCTCTGTTTTGGGTTTCCTTTTCACATCCAGCACCATGGCACTGGGCTGGATTGATTATAAATCTTTGGAGCCAACCTGATTTGGCAGGTGTGCCACAAATTAGCTCCACTCCCTCCCCAAGTGCTACTCTGATCCGGTTCCTCTGCCTAATCTACTACTCTTCTTTCTGCTCCCAGCCCCCATGCTCTGTGCCTGATTTGCTGCTTTGCTTTCAGCTTCCTGCCCTATCTCGTGCTGTGCTGCCTTGTCCCTCCCTGATCTGCCATGTGCCAGGCACAGGGGCTACCCATGTTGCTTGGCCACTTCTGATATAAATCAGGGTGCAAGTGGAATTCCTACATTGAAAGAATCTATTTTAATGCACCTTTTCCATTTGTATTTAAGTTATTTTTCTAAAGAAGGATGTGTTCTTATTTGTTGATAGATTCATTAAGCTGCATAAATGTATCACTAATAGAACCCTCATGCCAGATTTGGTATGTCTTGCTGAGACATAGGACGTTACATTGTATACATTTGTCTAAGCAATTATATTGATTGATGCTTTCAGAATCTTGTTAATTTCACATTTTAGTATGTTAAGAAATGATCAGGTATACCTTATTTATTTACTGTTTAGTTAACTTTTTACTTTTGTTCACTGTCAAGCAACTGTGTTAGGATGACAAATCTGCTGTAATTAAACACCCAAAATAGCAGGTAACATTTATTTTTTATTAAACAAAACCGTCCTAAGTGAATCGGGTACATAAAGTTTTCTTACCAAAACATGTTCCACATTTTTTACAGGAGAATGGTTTATGGAAGAGGGGGAGGGGAATAACTATAGTCAGTGAATTAGATTCTCTCAGGATAGCTTAGGAAAAATTTCCAGTGTGACTTTGTGAAAGTGACTGGAACTTGTATTCCTAGTCACCAAAGTCTCTTGAAAATTAGAAGATTTCCAGAGTTAGGTAGTTCTTCCAAGTGCTAAAACTGGTACATCTCAGGTTCTTCCTCCTCATTATTATTTATAGACTGGAAGAGAAACAGGTTTTCCTGCTTCTCCAACTCCCAGTCAGCTTCTCACCCTTTTTGAACGTTCAGTTCGAAAGAGGAATGAATATGAAATATATTTTTTTCTGTCTGCAAGATGCTTCTGCTGTGCAAAGATGGCTTGTGCCTTTTGCTGGCTTTGCCAGTCTCTTGTACTCAGCAACACCCTCCCTGCCTCCCCTACAGATGAAGCCCTTAATACAGTGCATGGCCTACTCTCCCACATTTATGAAACTTGATCTCCAAAACAAGAGGTTTTCTCCTGATTTTTTTCTTTATATTGAAACACATGCAGGGGGTTTCTCAAAGTTTTGCTAGGAGTGCATAGATTTCAGCATTTTTTAATTTGCATCTTTACGAGGTTATAATAAAGTTAAGTCTTAACATATGTTGTGTTAAAATCAAATTAATTTTTTAACAAGTTTTTTTCTTAAAAAAGAAAACTTTCTCAGACTTAAATAACAACATAAAAAATCTTATATATATATATATATAATTTTAAAATAATAGATAAATATTCTCCCCATGTGGTACTGCAGAGTAATACTTAATTTGCTAGTCCCTGTTGCCTGTTAGTCTCACCCCCTCCGTCTCCCACTTATTGCTTCCCAGATTTCTCCTTTCCATTGCTTCATATAACCAGCCCCAGATGTATGTGCTCCATTTTTTTTGAAGCTGAATCTTTTTCTCTTCCTTTCCCATGTCTGTTTAAATAACTTCTTGTTTCTGTCTCATGACTGGTGTCTGCATCTCCTCCCACATAGCACCGATTTGTAAATTCATTACTTTGCTATCTCGATGTGCAGATCATAACAACGATATTTAATAAGACTGATCAGAATGTTGGAGCCTCTTTTTCCTGCTATAGGCTTCTCCCCCCACTTTTATATGTTCCTGTTACCTCTGTCCTTGATTGTGCTACATCTTAACCGGTTTTCAGTGTACCTAGTGACTTTTAGTCTGGCATTCTCATTTTTTTAAGACACTGATGCCATCGGTGTTATCCAAGCATTAATCAGGTTTCCATTTGTCCACTATCTTTGGAGTGCTATCAGTCATGTGAGGGTGGACACCCATTAGTTTAAAATTTGTCTGTGTGCAATAGTGGCTGGCTGTGATGGCAGTTTTGACTGTCCATTTGAAACACATAGCGTAGAACAGTTTATCTTCTTGCTGCTGCTTTCCTAATTCCTGGGAACAGCTTTTTGCAGGTCATAAGTCATCCCCTGTTCTTAATTGCACAGTTTGTTCCTTGTCTAGGACTTCTGGGGAAACTGAAAAGACATAGTGTAAGCTATGCAGGTGTCACAAATTACCCTGGCACCCTCCCCAAGTGCCACTCTGATTGCCTTCTCCTGCATTCTGCTTTCTGCTCCCTGCCTGATTTGTTGCTTTTCTTTCTGCTTCCTGCCCTATCTGCTGTTGTGCTGTCTGTCCCATCCCCAATTTTTCATGCTACACATGCAGAGTCTGCCCATGCCACTTATAGTATCCGTACTGCAAGTTGGCAACCCTTTGGTCTTGCACTAAGTTTCTGGATCCAGCTAAAGCTTTCTAATTTTTTTGCAGTAAGGAAAGAAGTGTGGAAGAAAAGTCAGTCCTTTAAAGTGGAATTTCCATGATGCTTCTTAGCATCCTGTTTTCCTCTGCACTCAGTATGGGGAACTTTTAGTAGGGGAACTTTCCTGTCTAGTGTTTCAGCATAAATGTTGTTTTTCTGAAATTGCTACAGCTGCAGGAATAGAATATTGTGTTCAGGAAACTGAGCTTTCTTAGCTTTTAGCAGTCCAGCATGGCTTACTAGTTAGGCAAATCCCCCCCTCCTTTAGTTTGTTTGTTTATTTTTCTTCCTGAGGTTGCTTCAATGCTTCCTCTGTCTAGAAGCACGATACTATGAAAGGCACTTTTCCTCTTTTTGGACCTCCTCTCAGCAATGCTGTTTGTTCCAATATGTGATCAAACTAACCTGCTTAACTTCGCTGTCTCTCTGAGTAAAGTGAACAGCTGGAACAGAAGCCTGTATGTCAGAGAGAGCTGTACCCCAAGTGA